ATAAATCCTCCATTCAAGCAAAAAAATGATGTTTTCATTAAAAATAAATGGGAGATGACACAGCCTCTACCAAGGTTAATTAGTAAGCAAAGATTTGAAAGATTAAATTTCATATACATGAGAATTGATTCCCCAACATTAGTTGTTTATAAAGTGCCTGGGTATGGAGTTACTCACAATTGAACAAAGAAGAGAAGTTTATGGTATTTATCATATTGGGGAATAAAATTAATCAGACATAATTTAGATATGATGCATATAGAGAAGAATGTTTTTAACAATGTGTTCATTATGGTGATGGACATCAATGGAAAATTTAAAGATAATGTAAAAGCTATGATAGACTTGAAGGTATTTGTAGGAGGAAAACACTTGAGGTTAAGAAAGATGGAAATAAGAAACTTCTAAAGCCGAAAGCCCCATTCACCTTCACTTTAAAGCCAAGTTGAGAGATTTGTAAATGGGTATAGAGTCTAAAACAATTTTATGCATACATTTCCAATATTAGTAGATGTGCTAATATGAGATCAAGAAGAATGTTTGGATTGAAAAATCATGATTTTCACATCTTTATGGAATATTTGTTATCCAATGCTTTTAGTTATCTTCCAAATTCAAATTTAAATTCCTTCTACTTATCCCTATCCACCATATATTATGTCATTCTACTACCCAACACCTTCTCAACCCTCTACAGTTGGACCATCGACTTAGATTGCAGCTAAACCTTTCACCCAGGCTGCAGCAGAACCGACCACAAATGGGCGCATGTTGATTAAGCCCGAGGATGACACAAATGTAATGCACATTTTATATTACTTAGGTATTTGAGAAGTAATATTTTCAACTAATATTTTGTACAAGTTTTATCCATCAAAAAAGCCCATGCATAAGATAGGAGACATCATATGGAGTAAGTTAGATATTCCATATATTTTTTGAAAAAAAATCTCAAAGGAAGTATGTGACAATGATAAGTGTAAATCATTTTATATTTTATGTGTTAATTTGTCTATGAAAGCATATTATTTTAGTTGTGTTTGTGCAGAAAAATAAAGAAAATGTGCAAAAATTTTTAAGTATGGTATAATGTCGTGGTGTCAAATACTTTACCTTTGAGACACCATCATTGACATTATCAGAGTGCCCAAACAAGGACATGACGGTGCCTAGTCTCTATTTGATAGTACTGTAGCAACGGAGGAGTCAACACCATAAAGACCAGTCTTTGTTTGATATCATTACAACATCAAAGGAGTCAGCACTGCAAAGCCCACTCTCTGTATATATAGTGTTGTGATGCCAAATTCCAATGCTGCCAAGTCAATGCGAGTGCCATGTGGTCATTACAATGCTCAACTATCAATTGTGTCACAATGCTACACTTGTAATCATGTAGGCCATGATCTGCCAATAAAGCGATGTGTTGATTTATTAAATAGTGCATTCATGACAGCAAGAGTTGCAACGGAGGAAGCCCTTCAGCACTACGATGTTAATTCATTTTATGAGCACCATGGCACAAGTGTCTCGAGCATTGCAGTGCCAAAATCTTTTTTTTTTTATTATTTTTCTATAAATAGTCCATTTGTATTGTAAGTATGAGAATTCAATCACTTGTTTAATTTTAGTCTTTATAATACTTCTCTAATTTTTTCTATTGAGTGACAATTGAGATAATTTAGAGAAGTACTGGATATATTCTTTTAGAGTGTTTGGCTTGTGTTTGTGAAAGCAATTATGCAAGTTCAAGAAGGAGTGTAAAATTGAACTCATCTGGTGATATATTTTCTTTTGTATTTTCTTTATTTTGTGTAATTAATGAAAATGAATTTGCTTCACATGTTCTTCATGTTTGGCTAAATTCTCTAATTTTGAATTGATGGAGTAAATATACTGTGGTGTACTAATAAATTCTCTTAATTAATAATTTTATAATGTTTTCGATATATCAGGTCTTTATTTAATTCATATAGTGTCATATATGTAGTTAATAGTAGGTGTAATATGGAGCTTAGGAATAGGAAAGTGGACACAATCAGATATGTTTGATTGGTACGATGAAGCATAGGCATAGTGCTTGTCATGTATCAAATTTATAGAGATGAATTATTATTAGGGAGTTTTAACAATATATGTTTTACTTACTCTTCTAATATTTTCATAGGATGACAGATTATGAGAGTTTAGAATGGTATTTAGGTTGAAAGATTTGATCTGTCATTTGTCTCTTCATGCTTGACTGAGCAGTCGAGGATGCATATGCTTTGAATAACATCAATATAAAAGAGAATCATTATGAAATATATTATATTTACATTCTATTAATCTAAAATAATTTATCTAAATAGTGTTTTATTTAATTATTTTTTATTTTAAATTAAGTGAATAAATATCTACCAAAAATTATTTTTATTGTGTAGAATAATTGTTGTAGTTGAAGTAGACAATACTAGTATTTATAAGTAAACATTCTTTCTTGTGGGATCAATACTCTACTTTATTACTATATTACTTGATTCGACATGTATACTTGCGTATATTAAGTGGGATTTTTATAATTTTTATATCAAAGAAAACCTAAACATTATTTAGGAATTGATAGATACCTAAATCATTTTCATAGTTCTTTAGGTTACTCCACCCCCATCAATAAGGAGAAATTAAGTTATAGTGGATTATTATACATGTCTTTTATGATGAATATGAGTTATATATATATATATATATATATATATATATTGTAATAGTATGTTTTGGTAGGCTTTGGGTTTACCTTTTTATGATGAAAATAATTAGGAATAAGTGTAATTCTTTTAATTAAATCTTGGGGTGTGACATGAAGAACCTATAAAATTAGATTTATATGTCCTGCAATAGGGTTATCTTACAAATATTGAGACTTTTGCAATTTTATTATAAAGTGGTATATTTTCAATATTAAAAATACAACTTATGTATCTGTTATAAAAAAAATTAAAGGATAAAATGTTTGATTTAACAATGGATTTATATCCTCTATAGATAAGATTAATGATAAAAAAATCTTAAAGATATGATTTAGGGATATAAAGCTTATTTTTTGAATAATTATAACTAAGAAGAATAATTATTACTAAGAAAAAATCTAGTTGCAATAAAAGATATATCTATGAGGTCATAATAAAGAAGCTGAAAATTTAGGGTAAGCAATATAACCATCTTTTATTCCTGAAAAGTCAGAAATTTGAGATCCTAAAGAAAAATTAAATTTGGCAATTCAAGATAAGGCATCAATAACTTTATACTCTATACCTTTCAAACTAGAAAAATAGACTTTGGAGAAATTCAAATTAATTTGAAATGTAGGGATAGCACATGGACTAAAGCTTTCCTATAAGGATCACTTTTGAAGGAGGTTATTTACCTACCATTATAATTATGCATGTTCAATAGAATTCATCATATAATGAGATAGGTCAAGTAGCTATGAACTTAGGGTGAAGACAAAACCATGTTTTTTGTCTCTCATTAGAGATAGTTAATTAAGTCGTTCAACCGATGTCAGCTTAAAGAACTCAAAAAAGAAAACACGATATAACAAAAGATATAGAAGTCTCTTAAGGGGTAGGGGTGATCTCCTTAACATGTAATAAGTACAATGTAATTTTTGTCAACTTTTTAAAACTTAATTGTTAAATATTGATCTTAGACTCACGGGGTAGGTAATTATGGGTGGTTTCCTTAGTTGAGGAAAAGGAAGTTAGCAATGTGGGGGGAAGGGGACTTCGGTCAAGGAGGGCTTAGTAACTTTAAGCTAATGTTTGACTATTAATAAAGGTTATTTCTATATTTTATTTTATTTATAATGATGTAATTTTCTAAAAAATTTAATAAACTATCAAATAAGAAAATTTAAATTTAAGAAGAGAAATAGTAAATTTTCTTAAAGAATAAATAAATCTTAGGTTAAAATGTGCCTCAAATTCTTTCATTCTTAAAAAATTAAATCCTATTATAAAAATATCTAATTTTTACTATGGGTGGCATGTGCCTTCATTCTCTTTGACCTTGACTTCTTCGGAGTCATTGACTTTGATATTAACATAATGTAGGGACTATAGGATCTTTATGATAAAGTTATCAAATTGATTTGTGTCCCCTTAGGATAGTGGTGGTGAAACACGTATTCAGGGTTTGGGAAGATTTAGTGCTAAAATTTTGGATTATCAAAGGGAAGATTTTTCCTATAAGAAAAATGGTACAAACTCTAGATGAAATATATTTTGGGATGTTAGGAAACTAATTTTGGTGTTTTTAATGGATTTTGGATAGGTGGTTAAGGAGTTGTGATATTTTTATTCTAGCTGCTTACAATAAACAATTATATCTTTATATTAGGATTTTTGCTAGGTTATCTTTGGGTTATTGGAGAGTTGAGGCCTTATGATCATATAAGGGATTGAATTTTATTTGGGCTTTTATTTGGTGATCTTTTTTGGACAAAGCTTATTATTATGAATTGATCAGGTCCGGCTTATAATGACCACATGATCACTGGTCTTCTCCATTAGATCCTAGCCGTTAATTTCGTACCATATAAATTCATAATGGCGGCTTCATAATTAACACATCCTGACCGTCCATGTGATACTCGGTGGTCCCCACCCAGCAGAATTCCCATGCTCCACGCAGTCTTTGTTTCGGGCTTTTTGAAGAAAGGATAGGGTTATTATCGTCATTTCAATCGAGACACAATTATTACGATCACTAAAACGGTATCAAGAGTCACGCTCATTAACCACCGGTAGAAGCCGGTCGGCGCCCTCTCGAGCCGCAGCGTCCACTTGCTCTAGCCGGTGGTAACGGATTGCCACGCGTCAGGTAACGGTTCGCCGAATCCTAAATAGCCAGATCCAGTTGACGGCACCGTTGTGCGATCCCGTCGCCGTTAACGGGAAAGTGGTAAGTTATTAATTCGTCGAAACGCCACTATAAAAAAGAATCGGGTCCGCCGTCCGGCGAAATCTAATCTTATTTCTCTACGTTTTCGTTCCAGTTCGGAATTCTTCAGAGTAGCGGAACATGGTGAAGTGTATGAAGAAGTGTAGAAGAATCACGAAGGTGGCGGTGATGGAGGTGACGCAGGTGGTGGGAATGAGGACGAGAGCGAGATCCCTCGCGCTAGCTGCGGCGGCGGAGCTCAGGGTAAGTCGAAAGCGGAAGGCAGGAAGATCAGAGAATGGAGAGCTGCAAATGGCGTACCTGAAACTGAGGAGCCGGAGCTTGGTGATGACGCATCGGGACCAATCGAAATTGGCGGGGATTTCCGATGGGAGAATCTGCGGAAATGGGGAACGGATAATCTCGCGGTGTTCAAGTAGCTCTTCCTGTGAAGCGGTGGATGAGGATGTTGACATATTGTTTCCACGTGTTAGGGTCCACACGGTGAGGTTTAATTCATTTCGTTCATGCTGATGGAAATTAGGGTTTCGTCTCACTCGAATTTTTATCTTGAAGCCCTGCGAGGATGTGGCCAGTCGCTCCATGTGTAAATTTGAGTTCAGCGGAGACAGGTTTCTCGAATTTTCACGTTATCTCTCTCCTACATTTCAATGTTATGTTGATGAGAATTATCAACCATGCTGCTTTTGCAGGAGAGAAATGAGTCTATCTATTTATTCGGGAGAGCTGGAATCATCAGCCGAGAGGATATCCCGGCAATCCAAGCCTGAATTCAGGACGCCGCCCGCATCCGAGATTGAAGAGTTTTTCACTGCCGCGGAGAAATCAGAAAAGCATCGATTCGCAACCAGGTAATTTCCATCAAACTGGAACACTGACTCGCTCTCATTCTCCTGAATCAGAAACTGGAAATTATGCAGGTATAATTTCGACGTTGATAAAGAGGTTCCATTGGAAGGACGATACGAGTGGGTTCGAATAAATCCATGAAATCACGAAGGCTAAACTAACTCAATTATATTATTTTCCTCCTATCATCTCTTCTCTTTTGCCTTATTTCCTCTTCTAATGTAAATTTAATGAGCAGCGAAGCTACAACCTCCTTCTCTGACTCCTTTCTTTTTCAACTTTTCCCATACCGACCCATTCTCTTATCTCTTCTTACCTCTTCTTATCATATTGGCTGAAACTTCTGAGCTCAGACTTTTCTCTCATCATCATTCTCCAGTACTGGAATCAAAGAAGAATTCAAGAAGAGAGAGAGACAGAGAGATGAGTAGTTTTAATAAAAATGGCTCCTAGTAGCCAAAATCCGTGCACTTCCATCTTCTTCCCAGTTCTGCTCATTTCTGCGGTTCTGTGCTCAGGTAGGTATTATCAGGTTTCGACAAGGCTCATTGACCGTAGGATTTTTTCATCGGACGGTGAAAACTTCGCAACTGTACCCTTCTTCTCTCTTTTCAATGTCATTTTGTTTATTATTCCAGCGTACTTTTTCCTTTTCTTCCGTGCCGCGGAGGTAACGAAGGCGGTGAATTCACCGCCTGTGTGGTCGTGCTGAACGACAAGCCAGGCCGCAGGGTGCACGGAGAAAATTCTGAGCCAAAATTTGATTGGTAACAATTTCCAAACTATTAAATTTATTTTAAGATTACCATAATATATAATTAATCAATTAGATTTTATATTATTCAATTCTTAAAATAAAATTAATATTTAAAATTTTCGTTATAATGCAATTTAATTCAGAATTTTTATTTTCTTTTAAGGTGATAATTGATCAACTTTCTTGCTCTCTCTTGATTTAGGCAATATAATATATTTTTAATAATATTAAGAAAATAAGAATTAGATAAGTGAAGAAATAGATATGCTTTTGTGCTAGGTTCTTTTTTGGCCAAATTTTATGAAAAAATATCTAGTGTCCGGATATTCTAATGCAAAACTTATGAAAATGAGCTTTGAAATTCATAAAACTTTGTTGAGATTGGTGCTACAAATTATTTCTTGAATTATATTAATCTCAACACAAGTCTAAGGAATTTAAAGTCCATCATAATTTATTTTGCATCAATATATATTTGTACACAATTGATTTTTATTTATGCTTATCTCTTCCCAAAGAAGAAGACTAAGTATGTATTTTGTGCTCCCTCTCATCGATAGAAGGAAAAAAAATGTATCTAGATGGCCTGACATAAATCGCGTCAAGGCCGTCTTGAATGACAAATTTTGTGTTGAGATTGGTGAAACATAGGATATCAAAACGGTGCACTAATCTAATCACAAAATAGATTGCCATACAAGCCTATCAAAATGTATTTTTTTCTAATATTTTTCTCTTACAAGATTTAAAATTTCTTAAATTTTATATCGCATTTACATTTATATTTATTGATGAAAGAGTGCATTGCTCCATCATTATTATGGTTATTACACTATTTTAGTAGCACCAATTCAATTAGTTGAATGGTTAAGATGATGAGTTCCAAAGCTATTATAAATTTGAGGGATTACTTGTAGATATAGTAAAAATGAGGAGTGCATAATTTACATAAGGAATATTTTTGCCATTATTTCGAATTTCTGTCACTAATAATCAACCACCAAGTAGGACTTCTACAGTTGCCGCAATTGAGTATAATTTATGGTATAAACGAGCTAAGATTCCAACAATCCCCACACGAACAAACTTCTTCACAAAATAGTATTGCTCCCATTACGCCATTAAATGCTATGAACTCAAGTGATGTTGATCAAATCTGAACAATATTGAAACTTAATCCCTATAATAATCCTCTTTGGCATATTTGTAGTATTATCCACAATCCTTATCTTCAATAGTAGAATGTCAACCTCTTTTTTATTTGTCAAATATAATGGTATTTAGTGTGGAGAATTCATTACTAAAAATATAAGTCACAAAAAAAAACTTTGTTTGGATGACTATGAAGATTTTGATCTAATTGTGAATGCAATGACTTCCTTGAATGATTTTATTGTAATATATTATGCTTTTGTATTGTAGAAAAGAATTGTTTAGTGCAACATACAATCTCATTAGAGAAAAATATAATTTTTACATTAAGTTGAGCAAAATCAAGGTCAAATTTTGCAAAGAAAAACATCAATATCTGAATAGATAATTTTTTTTTACGAATGATGAAGAAAAATTATATCATTCTATTCATTTTTTTTATTGTAACCTTTCACTAACAATATAGCATTGCATATAATATTATTTTATCCAAAAGTGTCTTCCTTCTCAGCAAAGACTTATTTACAATCAATCAGTTTTTTACCATCTCAAAGCATCACAAAATTTCAAGAATAGTTCATATGGAGCAATCTCAACATATTTCATCGTCAATTTATCAATTTTCAAACTCTACATGGCTTCACTCTAATTTTACGGAATATTAGCTCCAATGAGTGAAAGAAAATTTATAATCATATTAGTACACCAAATAAATATAAGAATATTTATCTTTGATATACAAAAGGCAATATATTCTATTTTCTTATATGATCTATAATATTGGTGATTGTTACCATTCCTACTCCTAAATTAGAATTTTATTTTCTTTATTAGATTAAATCTATAGGATGATTGATTGTCTTCTCTAGAATTGTAAAAATTTCAAACTCCACATGTTAATGAAAGTTTGGATTTTGATTATCTTTCCTTGAAGTTTTATATTTCAAAATCATAAATTTATTAAAGATAACATCACAATTTAGTACGATAACTTTTTAGTTTAAAGTGTAGATAGAAGGCCTCATCTCCTTCACTAAAATTCTTGAAAGAAGATTTTAGAAAACTTCAATCTAAATTTGGTTCTTTCACATGAAAATAAGCATAACATATGAATATATATTTGCAGTGCTCCCTCAGCCAATTTTTAAAAAATTTTGATTAAATTAAACATGATGCTATTACATTTTATCCATCTTAAGAAAAATGTCATCATTAACATTTTCTTGAATAAATAGAATAGACTATTGGTTACTGATCACATTAGTCATGTCAATAAATCAAATTGTGTATTCAATAAAATCCTTCACACATTTATGAATTTCAATCAATCATATGACACTTAGTTATACTATGCAATGATCAATCTTAATCAATAATTTTTTATAGAATTCAATCATGATAAAGAATTGTACCAATAGATATCTCAGGTAATTCTTTCATCACTTATGGGCTTTCAATTACATTTCTTTATGTAGTCATATCTATAGAACTTTTATCATTCATTTGAGATGTTCCAGTCCTCCATCTGTATCCTTGTTTAACCTATGATTTTTTAGTTCCTAATCCTTTTCCATATCTTTTAAGAGGCCAATTTATAATATTGTGGCTAAGCTGTCCATATTTGAAACATTGACTTATAAGCTAGTAACACTGACCCATATGCTATTTCCCATAATAAACACACCCAGATTGCCACCAGCTGACGTCATGAGTTCCTTCTTAAAGTTAATAAACTTTATTATCTTTACAAACATTTCCTCTTATAATGACTTTTCCATCTTTCTTTTTATTTATGTCCTTTTTGAACTGAGGGGCTATCAAATCAGCCTCTTCATTCCTAGTCTGCTTATTCAGAGCATCATTCGGTAACTATACCAACATACTAGCACATTGCAGCATATAATTAAAATGTACTAGAGCTACAACATGTTTATTAGTTGGTACATATCAATTATCCAGATCCATTCGTTCACTTGTATAGTTCTCTTATCTAATAAATTATATATTTACTTAAAATGCACTTATGCAATTAAATACCTATGTAATTTTTGTATGAAAAAAAAATGATGCATCCTATATTGCCCAATCTCTATCCCACTTATAATCATTCCTATATGGCTCCAATAACAATTCAATTATCTAAATAAACATTACTTTGATATCATTTTTTTTATGCTTTAAGATTTAATTTGGAAGAATTTCATATTTAAACCTTCTCATCATTAACCAAAGCCACTAATATAGACTTCCATATTAAAGTAAAGTGACTGAAAAACAAACATTTCATTTCATATAAACATCAATACATTGACCAAATTCCTAAAATCATATATACAATAGCCATGATTCTAAGACATTTCATTTCACGTATCACTCATGAATAATCATGACTACAAAAAATACAACAACAAGATTTATAACCCTAAATTAGCAATAAAAAAGCACAGCCTCACTCCATCATATCCTTGTCCTTCCCTAAAATCATATAAAAATCACATAATGAGTCAATAGCTCAGCAAGTTACCAAAGCCTAAAACTACAGTCAATGTACGATAGCAAAAATGATATGCATGTGTTCATTTAGATCACATGAGCAAAAACATGTAATAATAAGAACCTACAATGAGCAATATCAATTTGAATCTATGCAACAGTGTAACTCAACAACAATGATCAGTAATCATATAAAGAATCAATATGAGCAGTATTAATATTATATTAGTCATTAATACACATCTTTATCATTATTTTATGCCCTTCCATGTATATCAATGTGAATATTACTATGCATATTATGTTATATGGTTAATCCCCTAAGAATAAATCTCATTAGTCTTAGGGTCAACCCAATAGAAATCAATCACATCAATTAATATCCTCATCAATCATATGGTTCACCAACTAGGAATTAGTCTCATTAGTCAAGTGGCCAACCCTTCTTGATTCTCACACATCAAACTTATGTATCATATAATAGTATTTATCTAATATATATTCAATATAATTTTCATAGCATTCAAATTCATCTAATGTACTTATCAGTATGCATACATTATATCAAATTGTATGTTAGACCAAATAGATTGTAAATTAATATATATATCATGTCCGAATATAATTATATATTGACTCCTAATTATTTTATACATATTATTACTCTTCTTATTTCAAATAAACTAATGTATATACAAAATTAACCAGTGAAATTTCATTATAAACCTATCAAAATATTCAAGATAATGATATCTACAAAATATTAAAGTTATATGATGAAAGTCCACTAAAATGAGATATATTATATTTTTATCAAATTTAGGAGGGAGAAAAAAGATGGAACTCAAATTCATAGAAAATAAAGATATAATTATGATTATTTATCATGATCAAAGCACTTTTTATAACTGAAGCGATGAAAAATACCTAACTGACCCTTATTTCTATTATAACTCAGGTTCCCAAGTTTATGATTTTGATGATAATAAATATTATTGATTATCTCTTTAATTCTCGTAGTACTTGTAGAGTATTTTTATTTGTGTGTTGACTAATATTTTAGGTACACCATGCACTATTCTTTGAAGATTGAGGGCTCAAGATTGGGTAAAATAGGTTATGTTAAACGAGTCTGCAATTTTTATTTATTTATTTTTAATTTTTTAAATCAAGTCATATAAGGGTGTATGTTAGCCTGGTGACTGTGCACATACACATAAGAGTATATATATATATATTTGCAAAAATATTTTTGAATGATATCTAATCGACAGTACAAACATCACATCGTACTGGATGATTTGTTATAATTAGAAAGCCTACCATCCATTAAATTAGGAAAAATTTTGAATTTGAAAAGTTGTTCTAATCGTACTGTACAAACTTAATCATACTATACAATATTTAAAACATTGCCTAATTTAATCCTGTGATTCAAT